CTAAGACTTAAAACTTTAAGTAAAGTTTATTAAGTTAATTTTAGGGAATGTTGTGGAGTGAAAGAAGATATAGTGTCGAGGATTGAGAAAGGTATAGTGAGATGGCTTGGACATATAGAGAGGTTGAACGAAAGGAGATAGACAAAACAAGTATACAAGACGAGTGTGGATGGGAGAATTGGAAGGGGTCAACCTCAGCAAATGTACCTCAATCAGATTGAGGACGTTTTTAGCAAAGGCCAGCTTAGGAGTACCCTAATTAAGTTAATAACAATGTACCTACCTATATAGTTTAAGTTTAAAAAATTTGGCTCTCAAAAGAAATTTCAATCATTGTACTGTTGATATTTGGCTCTGTTGCCTAATGAGTTTGCTGACCACTGGCCTACAGCATTCTGATAGGCCAAAGACTTCAGATTTTAAATCTATTCCGGAGGTTAGGGCATTCCATCAGAAGTGTTTAAGCAGAAAAAGTAGCCTAAATATAAGTTCTGAAACAATAAATTACATAGAATAAATATGTTACTAAACTTATGGAGCTTGGTCATAGAGAGGATGTAATAAATCTGACCCCAAAGACAAGGGGAGTAAAGGCAACAATAAATGAATGGTACTATATCAAACTCAAAAAGCTTCTACACAGCAAAATAAACCACCAACATAACAAAAAGGCAACCAACTCAGTGGGAAAAGATATTTGCAAATAAAGCTCTGAGAATACCCAAAATATATTAAAAAAAACTCATACAATTCCACACCAAATAAACAAACAATCCAATTTAAAAGTGGGCAGAGGACCTGAACAAGTACTTCTCCCAAAAAGACATACAAATGGCCTACAGATATATGAAAATATGCTCAATTTCACTATTTATTAGGGGAATGAAAATCAAAACTATAATGAGATACCACCTCATACCTGTTAGAATGTCTAGTAGCAACAAGACAAGAATTAACAGAGGTTGCTATAACTTAAAGAGGTTGCAGAGAAAAAGGAACCCTCATTCATTGATGGTGGGAATGTAAATGGGTACAGCCACTATGGAAAAGAGTATAGAGGTACCTCAAAAAATTAAAAAATAGAGCTTCTGTATAACCCAGCAACCCCTTTTTTGGGTATATACCCCCAAAATTTAACAAACATTTATTTGCAAAGATATATATACCTTTATGTTCATTGAAAAATTATTCATGTTGGCCAAGACCAAAGTGTCCTTCAACAGATGATTGGATAAAGAAGATATAGTATATATATACAATGGAATACTATTAAGCCATAAGAAAAGATGAAATACTGCTATTTCATTAATAAAATATATTTTTTAAAAAGATAAAGAAAAAGTGGCCAAATCAGATCCTTGTCATAGTAAGATAACTCTGGAAGCAGTGCAGAGGATCTATTTAGGAAAGATCTTATCAAGTTACCAAGTTCAGACACGCCTAAACAAACATATCCTAAAGGCAGGTTTGAATGGATGCTACTGAGCACCAGAAGAATATAGGATAAGGTTACATGGTAACCTGAAAGTTTAACTTAACACATCAAGATATTTGAATGGTACCTTGGGGGGGATTATAGTTCTCTAAATTTTATCCAATAAAATGTATTTATTAGAAGATCTGAAACAAAGGTCAGGTTTAGAAATAAATTACACATAAGTCCTATTTGGGAAATGAAATATACAGAAAGAGTAATTAAAACACCCCCCAAAATGGAATACCTATATGGATTATAAACCTATAATTTCTTAGTAGGGTAGGCAATCTTATCTGTTGTGTTGCATACCCATTAATAAGAATTATTTTAATCTAAGATAAAATATTAGACTTATAAATTAAAGTAACCCCAACAGTTTGCATAAACCTTTTTCTTAGATTACATTGAGAATAACAAGGTGATTACTATACACATAGGAAACATTTTTAACAATCATCATAAATAATTCTTATACTTGGATTTTAATGCACATGTGACATCAAGTCCCAGATACCTGGATGTGAGGTAAAAAATACCACTACTAACCTTACTTGTCATCTCCCCTATAAACTTACGTCCTCCTTAAAAGAATGTATGTAAGTGTGTGTGTATATGTGCATTTAAATGTAGGTGTATGAAGTAAGAACAAAGCTATGCTTAACTTACAGGCATGCATCATCTTATTGTGCTTTGTCTTATTGGGCTTTGCAGATATTGTGTTTTTACAAATTGAAGGTTTGTGGCAACCCTGTGTTGAGCAAATCTATCGTAGTCATTTTTCAATAGCATTTGCTCACTTTGTGTCTATGTGTCATATTTTGGTAATTCTTACAATAGTTCAAACTTTATTATTATTATTATCTTTGTTATGGTGATTTGTCATCAGTGATCTTCAATGTCACTATTGTAATTGTTTGTGGCATAACATAAGATGGCAAACTTAATAAGTAAATATTGTGTGTGTGTTCTGACTGCTCCACTGACTAGCCATTTCCTCTTCTCTCTTTCATTCTCTCCTTGGGCCTCCTTATTCTGTGAGACTTAACAATATTGAAATTAGGACAATTAATAACCATGCAATGGCCTCTAAGTGCACAAGTTAGAGGGAGAGTTGTACATCTCTCACTTATCAAAAGCTAGAAATGATTAAGCTCAGTAAGAAAGGCATGTCAAAAGCTGAGAAAGGCCAAAAACTAGGCCTGCTGCACTGAACGATTAGCTAAGTTATGAATGCAAAGGAAAAGTTCTTGAGTAAAGTAAAAATGCTACTCCAGTGAACACATGAATGATAAAGAAGGAAAGCACCTTTATTGCTTATATAGAGAAAAGTTTAGTGATCTGGATAAAGCCACAACATTTTTTAAAGCTAAAAGTCTAATCCAGAGCAAGGCCCTAATTCTCTTTAATTCTATGAAGGGTGGGACAAGTGAGATAGTAGCAGAAGAAAAACTTGAGGCAAGCAGAAGTTGGTTCATGAGGTTTACTAGTAAGAAAACAATCCACACCCATTACATAAAAGTGCAAAGTGAAGCCGCAAGTATTGGTGTAGAAGTTGCAACAAGTTATCTAGAAAATCTAGCTAAGATAATTAATGAAGGTGGCTACACTAAACAACATATTTCTCAATGTAGACAAAATAGCCTTATATTGGGGAAAAAAATACCATCTAGGACTTTCATAGCTCAAAAGGAGAAGTCAATGCCTGGCTTCAAAGCTTCAAAGGACAGGCTGACTCTCTTGTTAGGGGCTAATGCAGATGTTAACTGTAAGTTGAAGCCAATGCTCATTTATCATTTTGAAAATCCTAGGACCCTTAAAAGTCATGCTAATCTACTCTGCCTATGCTCTATATAAATCCATCAACAAAGCCTGGATGACAGCACATTGGTCTATAACATGGTTTACTGAATATATTAAGTCCACTGTTCATGCCTACTGTGCAGAATTTTTCTTTCAAAATATCGTTGCTCACTGAAATGCAGCTGGTCACTCAATAACTTTGATGGAGATGTATTAAATTCATGCTGTTTTCACACCTGTTAACACAACCTTTGTTTTACAGTCCATGGACTAAGGAGTAATTTTGACTTTCAAATCTTCTAATTTAAAAAATACATTTCATAATTATAGCTGCCACAGATAGTGATTTCTCTAATGGGTCTTGGAAAACTCAACATAAAACTTTCTGGAAAAGATTCACCATTCTAGATGACATTAAGAACATCTTTGATTCATGGGAAGAGGTCTAAATATCAGCATTAACATGAATTTGGAAGAAGTTGATTACAATCCTCATGAATGACTTTGAGGGGTTCAAGACTTTAGTGGAGTAAGTAGTTGCAGATGTGGTAGAAAAGGCAAGAATAGAAGTAAAACCTGAAGATATGACTGAATCGATGCAATCTTATGAAAAAAGAACTTTAATAAATGAGGAGTTGCTTCTTATGGATGAGCAAAGAAAGTGGTTTCTTGTGATGGAATCTACTCCTGGTGAAGCTGCTGTAAAGATTATTGAAATAACAACAAAAGAATTAGAACTTGCATACACTTACTTGATAAAGCAGCAGTAGGTTTTAAGAGGATTAATTCCAATTTTGAAAGAAGTTCTACTGTGAGTAATACTATCAAAAAGCATCACAGGCTAAGAAAAATTGTTTGTGAAAGAAAAGGTCAACCAGTGCATACAAAAATCACTGTTGTATTATTTTAAGAAATTACCACAACCTCCAGCCTTCAGCACCCACCACCCAGATCAGGCAGAAGCCGTCAACAATGAGGCAAGACGCTCCACCAGCAAAATGATTAGAAGTCACTGAAGGCTCAGAAGATGGTTGGCATTTTTTTTCACATAATGCTATTGCACACTTAATAGACTATAGAGTAATGTAAACATAACATTTATATTCAATGGATATGAATAAAATTGTGTAACTTAGTTTATTGTGATATGAGCTTTGTTGCGGTGATCTGAAACTAAACTCGCAGTATCTCCGAGGTATGACTGTACTGTGCATTTTTACTAAAATGAGTCAATTATATTTTCTCTCTTGAGAATTACGAGGAATCAGATTTACTGATGTTTAACCAGTTTTATTGTCAAAACTTTGTAATTCCAGAAACCAACAAATTTAAGAAATAAGTCATGAAGTTTCTCTGTTTACAATCTAAATATTATAGATGAGTTCTGAAATATCTAACTTATACTTAGTACTTACTAGTACTACCGTCAACACAAATCTATGTGCTTTTTAATATATTAACTCATGTTTTTTATATCTTAATTCCATCAACTTTCTCATGAATTATATATTATTATAGACCTGTATAAATGAGAACAAATGAGGCACATAAATACAATATTAATATACATTGCAAAATGACCTTAGTTAAGAAATGGGTAAATTTGGTTAAATTAAACTTAGAAAATAAATGTGGTATCAAAAAGAAAATGTAAAGTGCATTTAATTTTTCATACTATTTTCAGCACATTAATTTTGATTTGGGGACCTTTTCCATTCTTTACCTTTAATCTCTTTGTCATTTTTGAACCATCTTATATCAGCTGCGGGTTTACTACCAGATGTTTTACAAGTCAGCTGCATCAAGTCTCCCTCCATAACTGGTGATGAAAATCCGCTAATTTGAGGCTTTTCAGGAACACCTGAAAAATAAACAAATGAAACATCAATCACTAGGGTTGGTTCATTCTTGTGACTATTATTTTTACAAACAAAAGTAAATTGGCAATAAGTTCATCAAGAATAATAAACAGCTATATAATAACATTAACTGCTTATGATATATAGATACAGATACAGGTATATGTATATGAGTATGTGTGTGTATATATACCTGAAAGCATTTATTCAGTTCAAAGTAGTTGTTTAAATTAAAATCTGCATGTAAAAATAAACTTTGTAAATCTTAAAGATAACCATTCAATATGTCTTAAAATTTGCCAGTATAGGGATTAAAGAATGAACATTGCTTTCATTGGAGAAAAATAATTTACAAAGCACATTTATTTATTCTTTACCAAATTATAATTTAACTAAAATAGCACCTTTCATCCCTGATTTCATAATTCTGAAAGCTTAAAAATGGTATTATCCTCTCTGTATTTTATTCAAGAAAAGGCATTTTGTCCAATAAAAAATGCACCAAAAAGATTCATATGTAATTGCAACCATACTTACTTTTCTGATTCTTCTGTAGAAAATGTCTCTTGATGTCATTTGCATTAGAAATTCAATTGTAGTTTTGTGGAGCTTGATATGTGTTATTTTTAATGCTAACCACTATTGCCTTTTCTAGTCCAAATCATCAAATCAATAAGCAGATAACTGATATTCAGAGATAGCACATGGGTGGTTTAAATAATAGAACATTCCACATTTCTTGGGCATTAATATTCTGTTATCATGGTAAAGGTTTACTAAAATTTCTTCTAAAATTATTCAATAAGTAAGGCAGACTGAAAGTTCTTTATTGTCCTATTTAATTTAGTTATAAAAGAATAAAATGTAATCATGTTGGAAAGTACCAATAAGAGAAATACACATTTAAAGAATAACAACAAAGACAAATGACAGGTCATCATACTCCAATTAGCTGAATAGTTGTGTGTGTTTTTTCCCACCTTCTTATTGGCTTTAAAAAACAATCTATATCATCCCACCATTTAATCAATTGAAATCAGCCAGTTGCTTATTCATGGTGTCTCAAGGTGGCTCTCTACAGGACAGTACATTAAACTTAGCAGTTGTTATCCTGAAATATTCCATTTTAGTGGTTATGTTGTGTCCTTAATGGCAAACTTTTAAAGATTTTGATAAAATAGTCTCAGTTTCTTATCCTATGTACAAAACTAATTCACTAGCTGAATTAACTTTTAATATTCCCATCCAAAAGAACAGCATGTGTTAGTTCCTTTAAATGCAATATTAAGCCTTATGTATGAAAAAAGGAAGACAAGCTAGGGACAAAAATATCCATCTTGAAATTCCTCTAACTTGTTCAGAACACAGGTGTGTTTCAATAAACTGCAGCAATTTCAGCTGATTGGGCCACTGATGTTTGTGGAATCACAGAGAGCTCTGAGATGCAACTATATTTCCTCTGAATCTCTATGAATGCATTGCTTTTTTATATCACTTTAACCTTTGGAAAAAATGGCTCAATATTTAGAGAAGTTACAAGCTGCATGCACAAGTGACATTATGCACTTCATTTAGTAATCTAGAAAACTACAGGTTTAAAAGGTGAGAAGATACATGGAAATGTCAGGGTTATATAAATGCACTGAAATACACAAAGGGGTTAAATCTGAAAGCTATAACACATTAGAGAAGGCCATATTAAATGATAGAATGAAGGAGCACCGTATAAACATATTAAACTCATGATGCTCATTATTCTCTCACTTTATGAAAGGATCACCACATATACAATACATAGATGAGTTGCTACAAAGGAATTTAATTGAGAATCAAGAAACCTGGTGTCTACCGGTGGCTAAGAAATTATATGGGTACATGCTTTTAGAAGTCATAGAAATCTTTATATCTCCCTTTGTCTATAAAACGGGAAGTGTGATTAAGTGATTTTTAAATGCCTTTTGTTAAAATGTAGCAGAAATGAGATTAAACTACGTCTATTATTATAATCCTCAAAATATGTATGTGTTGTAGTACTGACCTGTGTGGCTTAGTTGGTTGAGCATTGTCCCATGCACCAAAAATTTGCTGGTTTGATTCCCAGTTAAGGCACATGCTTGATCCCCAATAGGGGGCATGCAGTAGGTAACTGTAAGTGTTTGATGTTTCTCTGTCATATTGATGTTTTTCTCTCTTAAATCAAGTGTGTGTGTGTGTGTGTGTGTGTGTGTGTGTGTGTGTGTGTTTGAATCATGGTACTTTACAAGTACACATATCTCAGTCTTGTGAATGCATTGTGTTTGTTCCTTGAACTTACCCAGAACAGTGAGATAGGCCTTGGAAGTCTTGACAGGCATTGTAAATAAAGAACAGGTGTACTGTCCTTCATCGGAGAGAGACACATCACTGACGCTGATACTCAGTTCATGCCAAGAAGCCCGAACCAGCTCAATCCTATTGTCCCTTAAAGCTGAAAAGAGAAAGTATTAAAAATGTGAAATAGCAATATTAGAAAAAGTCAGTACTGTTAGACTGAATATTTTCAGCACAACATAATACACAGTTCCTCGGCTGTACATCTAAATATTTACTGAAAGAGTTTATAGGACAGTTTAAATATATTATTTTATCATATTTTTAAAAATAAAGGTAGAATTAGGTGCTCCTTAAGGTTCTCAGAAATAACTTTTTTAATTAAATGGTTGCATCTAGTACATTACTTTGGATGAGGTAGATGATATTGATAAAAGTGGCTTTCCTCCACAAAGTTTTTCATGGGATGCTAATGCCAAGAAAAATTATAAACAAAAAGATTCATTTCTATGGACAGATAAATTTGGGAAAACTAGCTGCTGCATTTCTTCCAAGAAACTAACAGTGAACATTAGCATATTAAAAGCTCTCCACAGTACAGATACCTGTTGAAGTTCATTTAAACCAGAACTGACATTCAGCTGGAAAGCACCTGTAAGGTACCAGATGTTAAAATCTGTTCTAATTCATTGGTACCTCTGCTGTACTGTCTGTTAAATATTTTTTATATATGCATTAGTTCAAACCACCATTCTGTTCCAAAACACTTGTTTTCACAGAAATCATACTTCTCTTTACTCCTTTTTTAATTATTTTTATTTTATTTTCTTGTTAAAGTATTATGAATAGTAGTACATATGTTCCCTTTTATTCCCCATTGACCTTCCCCAGGGCTCATTATATATCTCACTAAGTACAGCTATACAACCTGGAATTAAGCAAGAGGCACTGATGAATTACTATAAAAGGTATAAAGAGAAAGGAGAACAGGTTAGGAACACCAGGCCCTAAGGAACAACATGGAGGCAAACAATAGTGAAAGACAATGGAGATCTGGCTTCTACCAACCACAACCTCGCAACAGAAACTAATTTTTAATGCTGAATAAATGGAAGCTCCAACAGCATCACAAGGGGAATCAAGTGGGAGCATCAGTGACAACAAGAGTCCACGGAAAGCGAACTATATCCCCAATGGGCTGGAGACTCCTTTCCCTACAAAGATAAAACAGCTGATTGTAAACAAGGGCAGTAGGGCAACCCCTCAAGTAACTAGCCTTAAATATGATCTCTCAGTAAGCTACAAAACTACTGACCCCACTTAGACCTACCAGGCAGCCTGGCCTGAGGGAGCAACTCTGCCCACTTAGGTGGCATCAGTAGACATCTGTGTAATTTCCAGTGGAACAAGACAACTCAAGCTGACCAAATAGAACTACCAAGGTTCTGACAAATTTGTGTAACCACGGCCCGCAAATGTACTCTAAGACCTGTGTGCTAAACCTAATTAGGATGACTGCCTCATAGAACCGGACATTTAAATAGAGTTGATAATCTCCTAACTTAATAGCCAAAATGTCCAGAATATGATGATGATGATGATGATGATGATGATGATGATAAAACTCTCGTCACACCAAATGCCCAAAAAATCATAATTTAAATAAGAAAACATAATCAACAGATGTCAACACTGAGTTGAAATATATATTGAAATTATCTAACCAAGAACCTAAAAAGCTATTTTATTAAAATAATATAACAAGTAATAAGTTTCTTCAAATATATTTTAAAAATATTAGCAAAGAAAAATAAGTTATAAAAATGAACCAAATGAGGGGGAAGAACCAAGATGGAGAAGTAGGTAAAATCCGTGTTTGCCACCTCCCACAACCACTTCAAAATTAGAACTAAAATACAGAATAACCATCATTTGGAACTGCCTGAAATCTGGCTGAACGGAAGTCCTAACTAAAGAATTTAAGAAGAAAGCACATTGAGACTGGAAGGAGGGGTAGAGGTATGGAATGGGCTGGTTTGACACCCATGTGTGGCATTTTTTTTTAATCGGGAGGGATATCTAGCTGCGAAGCCTCCCATGAGGAACAACGGTTCCCAGCCCCCCACCATACCCCTAGCCCAGGGGTCTAGTGCTAGGAAGAGAAGTCCCTGTAACTTTGGGTTATTAAAAACCAGTGGGGATTATGGCTGGGGGACATGGAAACTGCTGGAGTTCTAGGTGTTCCTCTTAAAGGGCCAGTGCAGGGACGTACTCAGACTCACTCCCTCTGAACTCCAGCATTTGTTCAGTAGCTTGGGGGGATCCAGAAATATATGGGATGGATATGGATTGTCTGGCATTGGAGCAAGAACTGGGAGTGGCTTTCTCTTACACAGGGATGCTCACAGTGGTCATTGTTCCTATGCTGAGACCTCCCCTTTCACAGAGCTGATTGTCAGCGGCCATATCTGAGTCTCCATCAATCTGGCTTACACTATTCACTCCACCCTGGTGATTCCCTGAGACCACCCCCCCCACACACACACCCAATTTGTAGCCTCACCCAAGCTGTTTGCAGAGTCTTTCCATATGAATGACCTGTCCTGACTCAGAGTTTAGACTTTCCTAAAATCTCTCAAACAAATAGCCCCATACCACCCAATAAGAGGTCCCAGGCCTGGAACTAGCAGAAGCCTGCATCGTTTCACAGCTTGGCCTCTCCTGGGCACTTTCAAGACCAACACAAGTAGTAGCCATCTGCAGATCACTCTGTAGCTCCTGACCAATGGCCCCTGGCAGAACATAGGCAGTAAAGCTGAATTTGCACCACCAGGGTGGCTCCAGAGTAAGTGCACCTGGTGGACAGCTTCAGACCACATCAGATTACGATTCTACACATCCACAAGCAACACATTCAAGGGGCAGACTCAGTGAGCACCAAAGCCCCACTGAAGCAAGTCCTGTTCCAGAGGGGTATCACCTGCACAGCAGCTTTCCCACTGTAGTCACATCTGGTCCTCACAACCAAGTGGCACAGGGTCAATTCCTCACAGTGACACCAACAGCAATCAAGGTTCAACTACAACAAGACAATGCACACAGACTACACAGGTGACTGGGAAGGCTGAGCCACAGGGTCCTAAAGGACACCTACTACACAAGTAACTATCAAAGAGGATAAACCCAAAGATCACATGTCTGAAATCCAGACATATAAAAAAGAATCTGGAAAGCAGCCAGAGATAAAGACATGTTACCTATAAGAGAACACCAATTCAAATGACAATAGATTTCTTATTTGAAATCATGGAGGGAAGAAGGAGTGGTGCATTTTTTTCAAAAGAACTGTCAGTGATGGATTTGTATCCAGTGAAACCAACCTTTAGGAAATAAATATAGTCTTAAAAGAAGGAAAACTAAGAATATATGTTTCCTGCAGATTTGTCTTAAAAAATTTAAGAAAGTTTCTTTAAACTGAAAAGAAGAGGTCTTGGAGCATCAAAAAGGAAGAAAAAACAACTGAAAGAACAAAAATATTGGTAAATAAATATAATATTGACTGCCCTACTCCTGATTTTCTTTGTTATATACTGGTTGAAACAAATTATAACATCAATTATAACATCAATCAATGCTATGTTCAACATTTAGAGAAGGAATATTCAAGAGAAGTATAAAATGAGTAGAAAAAAGGTACCTAATGGAAGTAGATTTTCATACTGTACTCAAAATGGTAAAACATTGCTATTAGCAGGCTACAATAGTTCACATATGTATATTTCAGTACATGGAACAACTACTAAGAAAATATACAAAGTGATGCACTCAAAAAATCTAAAAATAAATTGAGATAGAAGACATTTATATAGTATCCTATCTAATAATAGACAAACATGGTAATTGACCATACCTTCGCTACACCTCCCATTGGCTAATCAGCGTGATATGCAAATTAACTGCCAACAAATATGGTGGCTAATTTGCATACTGCAGGCAGGGTGGGACAGCGTGAGTGCAAGCCGCCATCCAGGCCCCCATGTGCGACCCCAGAAGCCGCCTGCCTGACGCCCGTGATCGGATTCAATCCCAGGCTGCAGGCCGGACCCAGAAGCCCCAGAAGCCACCTGTATGGTAGTAACTCTATCAGTAACCACTCTGAAAGGCAGTGGCATAAATGCACCAATTAAAAGACAGATTATGAGGGTGAATAAAAAACAAAACCCACTTTAAATATAAAGACACATATAGATTAAAAGTAAATGAATTAAGCTGCAGCCTGTTTTGCTCAGTGGATAGAGCATTAGCCCTTGCTCTGAAGGGTCCCAGGTTCGATTCCAGTCAAGGGCATGTACCTCAGTTGCTGGCTTGATCCCCAGTCCCTATCAGAGCATGTGCAGGAGGCAACCAATCAATGTGTCTCTCCCTTTCCCTTCACTCTCTCTAAAATTCAATGGAAAAATATCCTTGGGTTAAGATTAACAAAAACAAAGTAAATGGATTAAGTAACATTAAAGAGATTATAAGAAAAATATATTCCAAATTTTGTTAGTTGTATAATGGTTATGTTTAAATTATTAACACCTAAGAAATTGGGTGAAGGGAACATATAATATGTTGTAGTATTTTATAGTTTTTGTACATGTATGAGATTATTTCAAATTAAAATATTAAAAAATTAAAAATTAATAAAATATTAATTGAAATGTATCTGTATTACATGAAAAATCTCCTAATTGCTTCTAGCATAATTCATTAGATTGTGCTAAAATTTACAAGGGTTCAATTAAAAGATATCTTAATTCTAAATGATATAATATAAAATATATAATGGTGCAATTATAAGCACTTATCTGAAAATAAAAATTTAAAAAAGTGAATTTAAAGAAGGGATTAGCCAAAGAAAATATATGCACAACCCATGGACATAGACAACAGTATGGTGATGGCCAGAGAGAAGTGGGGGGCAAGAGCTGGGTAGAGGGGGCAAAAGGGGGGAAATAGGGACATCCTATATAATAATAATAAAAGGCTAATATGCAAATTGACTGAATGGCAGAATGACCAGTTGCTATGATGCACACTGGCCACCAGGGGGCAGACAATGCAGGAGCTGCCCCCTGGTGGTCAGTGCATTTCCATATGGGGAGTGCCACTCAG